ATTATATAACAATAACCATCCATAGGAATTCTTCTCATTTGCCTAAAGAGTTTTAAAAACAACTTAGAATGTAAATAACTGAAATATTAATTAATTGTAAATTTTCTTCTCTCTTTGAACCTCTTGCTAGAAAAATTATCAATGGTTATTGACACAGCATGTGGGCAGCATGAAGAAGGATGGAATAATTTACAAAATGGATATATCCTGATTTTGTAAAAGGTATCTTTTCTTGAGAAATAAAAACCTTAATTTGAGGGAGAAGTTATATCAATTACCAAGGAATTTACTTTAGCAGCTCACCCTAGCATCCAGAGCTAGTTTCATGCTATAAAATGTCAGAATTCCTTCTCTCCAAAGGACTAATTTGGTATCCTGCGTGATTTAATTCCTCTCTTCACCTTTTGGGGTTGTGTAAATAAGGTTCATTATATATAAGAAATGTTTTATGCTACTCTTTAATCAAGGTATAATCAACACACAACAAAATGCACAAATATGAAGTGTATATGTTGATCAGTTTTGACAAACACGTAAACCTGCATAAACCACACATCGAAACCCAGGTGGTAACTTGTGCCTCCTTCTAATCAATCCTCTCCTTACCCGCTAACTCCCAGAAACAGCCACTATTCTAATTTCTTTCATCATGGTTTAACTTGGTCTGTCCTAGAACTTTATATAAATGGCATCATTCAGAAGGTGCTCTTGCATTTGCCTCTGTAGCTCAGCATGTTTTTGAAATTCATCATGTTGTTGCATGTTATCAGAAGTCTATTCCTTTTTACTGCTGAGTAGCATTTCACTTTATGAAATACTACACTTGGTTTATTCATTGTCCTTTTAACGGACCTTTAGGCTGTTTCCAGTGTTCAACTATTATAAGTAAAGTTGCTATGAACATTCACATACGACTCACTTTGTAGACATTGTTTTTATTTCTTTTGAGTAAAGAAATAAACTTCCTAGAAGTGGAATAGTTGGGTTATTGGTAAGTGTATGTTTAACTTTATGAGAAACTGATAAACTGTGACAAACCAATAAGAAAAAGACAGGCAGTGTTCTATTTCTCTCAAATAGCAGAAATATTTGAACAGATGATGCAAAAGAAGAGACCCAAATGGTCAATAAATACACAAACTGATGTTCAATTTCTTTGTTTATCAGGGGAAAGCAAATTAAAATTACAATGTGATATATTACAAAATTACAGTGCAATATATTACATACTCACCAGAGTAAGTTAAAAAGATGGAAAATACCAAGCATTGGTGAGGAAATGGAACCACCGAGAAGAACTCTCATACACTTGCTGCTGTTGAGCAATAGGTATCAGGCATACAAAAGTGCTTTCTTTATGATTTTATTTACATAAAGTACAAAAGCCAGTCAAAAGCAATCTATGAGTTTAAAGTCAGCATAAAGGTTATCTCTGTGGGGGGGAGGGTAGTGATTATAAAGGGAACATGAGGAAGATTTTAGAATAGTGGTAATGCACTGTTCCTGGATCTGGGTGCTGATGACATATTTGTGCTCAGTTCATGACAATTCACCAAGTTGTGTACTTATGATGCGTGCACTTTTATGTATGTGTAGTATACCTCAATAAAAAGTTTTTTAAAACCCTACAATGTGATACTACTACACGCCCACCAGAATGGCTAAAATAGACACAAAATACAGTTGTCCATTGGTATCTGTGGGGGACTGGTTCCAGGACTTCCCTTGGGTACCAAAATCCTCAGATGCTCAAGTATCATTTTATATCAGTACCACTTTATGTATATGTAAATGTGTAGTACTTACATATAAGCTATACACAGTCTCTTCTATAATTTTAATCATCTCTAGATATGATACCTAATACAATATAAATATGTAAATAGTTGTTATACTATTTTTTGTATTATTTTTTGTTGTGTTTTTTTCCTAAATATTTTCCATCTGGGGTTGGTTGAATCCACGGATATGGAACTCACCGATACAGAGAGCTGACTGTACTAAGTATTGGTGAAGATATGCAGCAACAAGAATGCGCATATGTATTATCCCTTTGGAAAACTGGCCACATCTACTAACACTAAAAATAGATATATACATATGTGTATATGTACATGTAATTTTAGGTATATAAAATTGTATATCAGGTATACATATCTGGTAGAAATGAGTATATATGGTTTAAGAATGCTCCAAGCAGCAATATCCATAAATAACCCAAACTAGAATCTGCCCAAATGTCCATCAGTGGTAGAATGGATAAATAAATTGTGGTATATACACATGATGAAATGCTATGTATTAATGAGAATGAGCAAACTACAGCTTCATGCAACAACATAGATGAACTTTACAAACTTAAAAGTCGAGAAACTGGGTATCAAAACATATGATTCCATTTATATAAAGTTTGAAAATAGGCAAAACTAATCTACAATGTCAGAAAAGAGGATATGACTAACTGTGGGGAGTTTTGTGACTGTTACTGGTGACAAGAGGGCTTCTGGGGCTGTGACACTGTTCTGTTTTGTGATTGGTGAGCATTACACAAGTGTGCACTTCGAGGAAACTCACCAAGCTGAACACCAATGACCTGTACTGTGTGCTTTCCTGTGTGTATATTTCAATAAAAATTTACATTAAAAATGCCCTCAGATCTGAGATCCAATCTGATTTAAACATTATTCAAATGCTACCTTGTTTCTTTGGGTCACTTTTTTCTTTTTTTTTCCTCTTTCAGAGTTATCGGAAAGATCATTATACTATCAAAAAGGGAAGTTCTCTGTTGCTCCTTGCAGCACTGTGAACATAATGTACACGTATGTTCTATAACAGTCCAGCGACAGGGCATTGAGCTACATCACCAGTGCGTAATAGCTAACTAGTTTGAAAAAATAGACTAAAATGCAGGGTTGCAGTAGCATATGGCTTTTAATCGGGTTAGGTAAATATTAACCGAGGCACTCTGTGGTCCCGGGTATTTGACTAACCTTGAAAACCAAGCCAGGGAGCAAAAGTAAAGAGGTGGTGGCTGCCTCCCTCCCTAAAGCAACCGGGAAGAGACAAAACTCGTGAGGAGTTCCAAGGACCCCCTATCCCCAGACCAGCTTTGATTCTGGTCACTAAACATGTCTTTTCTCTGATCTATAAGGGAGGAGATACCTTCAAGGAAGGATTTTAAATGACTGTAAAAAGAATCCAACTAACATATCCTTTCCTCCCTCAATCAACCCATGAGAACATTTCAGGGGAGTTGGAATGGGCTGTCGGTTTATCTACTACCAAATGTTGAGAAATAGGCTAATGAAAGTTCACATTTTATCTTTTTTCAAAACGAAGTTTTCCCTTGTCTGCCTCCGCTGCCGCCATGGCACCCGTGAAAAAGCTTGCGGAGAAGCGGGACAAAAGAAAAGCAGGTTCTGAGGTTCGCTCTTGATTGCACCCACACTGCAGAAGAAGAAATCACGGATGCTGCTAATTTTGAGCAGTTTTTGCAAGAATCACAGTGAACGGAAAAGCCGGGAATCTCGGGGGTGGGGTTGTGACCATCGAGAGGAGCAAGAGCAAGATCACTGTCACTTTTGAGGTGCCTTTTTCTAAAAGGCATTTGAAATATCTCACCAAAAAATATTTGAACAAGAATAATCTACGTGATTGGTTTTGTGTAGTTGCTAACAGCAAAGAGAGTTACCAATTACGTTACTTCCAAAATAACCAGGACGAAGATGAGGATTAAAATTCATTTATCTGGAATATTTTGTATGAGTTCTTGAACAAAACTTGGGGGGAAAAATGAACTTTTCCCTCTCCTGGCTGACAGCAATTTCTGCATCACTCAATGTGTTTGTCAGCAGCTGAAATTAATAAAGTGGATCATTTAGTGACGCGAGCTTACTCAGCCAGGAGGGGGCGAGCAGGAACAGCAAGCGTAGATTTTGCTTGTCTGGCAGCTTCTGTCTATATCCCACTTGTGGCTGCTAGATTAAACTGCCTGAAGTGAGTTAGGGTGAGACTTCCTCACTTTGAGCAGCTCTCCACTGCTTAATAAGTTAAGCACAAAGTCTGTTCTCTCAGAAATTTAAGCTTAGCTCAAGATAACTACAGTGTATTTTGGTCCCTGTTGCAAAAGTATGAAATCAGATATTGTAGATTGTGCGTCATGGGGGCAATAGCAATTTTCTTGTTTAGCGACCTCATTTCCTCCATCTCCTGGCCGTTGTCAAAGAGTACATTGCTCTTGAGGGAGGATCTGATGAGAGCAAGGCAAAGAGAGCTTTGCGTTGGTAAGTGCTGCATGCCCAAATGGCCTTCTTGGGTATTTCCACTTAAGCAATTATTTCCAGCTATTTCAATACTCATCCTTAGGCCTTGTTATTACCTGGAAAGAAACTAGAATATTTTCAAGGACTACCACAGTTTTCAAATACCACTGGAAAAAAGTCACAGATTAACAGTCCTCATCTTGAGCGCTCCTGTCATCCCAGCCACTCGGGAGGCTGCTGCCGGAGGATCGCTTGAGTCCAGGATTTTAAGTCCAGTCTGGGCAACTTAGAGAGATCTTGTCTCTAAAAAATAAAATAAAAATGCATATAAAAATCCTCATTTGACTTCATTTTATAAGATGGTTAATGTTTTTCTACTTGCTGCTAACAAAGTAGCAAATGAGAGGCTAGCTACTGGACTAATTATTTTTAATGGTATATACATTTCTTTTTCATCAACTTTATATGAAAAGTTTGAAGACAAAACTGGCTCCAACTTAGTTTTCCAACCTCATCTCTCCTATATGGGAAACTCCTTATCCACTCTAGGGTATTTCTATGTGTCCCATGCAGTGTCTGATATGATGCTTTAGCAAATAAATCTAAATACCCCAAATAAAACATTAGAAGAAAATATGAGAGAATATCTGTATAACCTTGGGGTAGGGAGATCTTAAGTAATACAGAAAACCCAGACAAATTAAAGAAAAGAGTAACATGTTTGACTACATAAAAATTATTTTTTTTTGCAAGGCAAAAGATACCATAAACAACATGAAAAGAAAAAGTTTGCAATAAATAGAATATGGTAAACACCATAATAAACAGATTCCTAAAATTAATAAACAAAGGACAACACAATAGAAAAATGGACCAGTAATAAGAAAAGGAAATTCATAGAAGAGGAAATAGGAGAAGGTGCTCAGTCTCACTAGGAATCAGGAAAATGCAATTCACGGATGAATTCACGGATATAAATATATTCATGTAGGCCAGGTGCAGTGGCTCATGCCTGTAATCCCAGTGCTTTGGGAGGCCAAGGCCAGAGGATTGTTTGTGGCCAGGAAGAGTTCAAGACCAGCCTGGGCAACATAGCGACAACTCGTCTCTAAAAAAATTCCAATGGATACGGGATTAAAAAAAGAAAAAGAAAGAAAAAGAAATTAGTGGTGGCACACTCCTGGAGTCCCAGCTACTTGGGAGGCTGAGGCAGGAAAATCACTAGAGCTCAGGAGTTCAAGGTTACAATGAGCTATGATCATGCCACTGCACTCCAACCTGGGCAACAGAGCTAAACTCTGTCTCAAAAAAAAAAAAAGAAAGGAAAGGAAAGGAGCAAGGGAGGTGGAACCCAATTAATGTTAGGTCACCTTTCCCTGCAGGGCTGCTCACAAAATGGACACGTGGGCTTTTACAAAGAACCAGATGTTTTCAAATCTACTCTAGATGTTTTGTTACTAGGGAAGAGCCTGAGAAAAAGGGAAATGTCTCCATGCAACGGCAGCAAGGAGAACTCAATATGTGGCCCAAACGAGGAAGAAAGCAACAACTTGTACAAGTGCATGTCTGACAAAGTTAGTTCATTCACTTATTCAGCCACTCAACTGGCATAAACTCCAGGCTCTGTGCTGGGGGTCAAGCACATGGCTGTAAGTGAAGCACGAAAACCCTCAGGCAAGCCACCTCCTGGGGCCAACTCCTCCTCTGGTTGGGTGCTGCCACTTCAGAGGAAGGATGAGGCTCAGAAGGCTACTCCCCCTCCAAGGCTGCCTCCCACCCCTCCTCAGCCCGCTAACAGTAACAACACTTTCCCTGTCCTGGCAATTCTCTACCTTCTGCCCACAGGGCTTGGCCTCTCCCATGCTCCCACCATCCCCACCTCCCCCCAACTACTAGGATAAACCTCAAACCACAATAATCTAGAAGAGTCCACTTCCCAGGCTGAGTTTTGCAAATAATCCTACAGGAGTGAGGCTGGGGTGGTTTGTAGGACTGGAAAAAGCAGGCAGAGGAGGTGTGCCAGGGTGGGAGGAGGAGCACAAACCCTCCAATGCCTGTCCTCTCCAGATGGCAGTATTGTGAAGTGGTTAAAATCCTGGTACCAAAGGTCCAGATTGCCTAGGCTCAACATGGCTTTTCCACTTGTCACCTGACTGACCTCGGACAGGTCTTTAACCTCTCTGTACCTGTTTCCTCTTCCATAAAGCTGGAGGAATAGTTATTTCATAAGATTTTATTGTGAAAAATAAATTAAAGCCCTCAGAGCAGCAGCTCAGACATAGTAAGCGCTCTATGTGCTAGCTAGAAGTATTATTTGAGGGACCCTCTGCCACTATGACAGTCAAGATAGGCCTGCTCAATTCTCTCAGTTCAATTCTACAGCTCTATTCCTGGTGGCCCGTGGGTAGCTCTTGGACAAAACTCAACATACTCAATCTCCCAAGACTAACAACCGTTCTTAGTGACAACAGTTTAAATTCATATTAAGTAGAAAAAGGAAGTCTGCATCAAAAGAACAAATCTGCAAAGGTTTCCCCTGCCCAACTGGGTTAGATAACCTCTGAGGTTATCATGCAGAGTGGTTTCATTCCTCTTTTCTAAATGTCTTGCTTCCAGACGAGGCCCAGGGACCTGCCACTGCATTACAGAGCCCATTTCAGTGCCTTTCTTTCCAAAAACATGCATCCCTTGGCAACCCTCCTAGAATGTGGAAGCAGCTCATTTTAAAATAGAACGCTTTTTTCTTTGCTCCTTCTACACTTTGTAGACAGTGTATCAAGTGGAAAAATAGTCATTGTTGTCCTTCCTCTCATTTTCTTCCCATCTCTCTGCCCTTCCGCTTTTCTTCTGGGTCTATTTTCTTCCCCTTTTCTTGCTTTTTTTTTTTTTTTTTTTACTTCTGTTTCCTTTAATCCCTCCCTGTGGCTCAGAATGGAGCTGATACCGTTCTGGACTTGATACTGTTCTAAATCAGAGGCAGGTCTGGGAAATGGTAGCTTCTTTTCTTAACTTGGTGCTTGGCTGGAAAATGAGATAGGCAAGCTCCTTGGGCAAAGAACTGGAGGTGAAGATAGAAGGAACTGTCTCTGGGGAAGGGTTTAGAGATGCTTTCCAAGCTGATTAGTTCTTTATTGGAGAAATGGCTCTCCGGTCTCCCACTTAGTTTCTCTGAGGCTGAGAATAAAATGCATAATGCTGGACCCAAGCATTCCCCTGGTTTTCAATTCAGTGTCTTTTTTCTCTGTGTTTCTAGCAATAGCCAACATGGACTGTTTTTATTATTTACTCTAAAGTGCCTGTCTAATCTTGGTACCACGTATGATTTATTTTGCTGGTTGTTATTTCCTGAGTCACAAAGGGAGGGGTTCCAGAGTTCAGGAAGCCCGAGAATGAATGAGATTTGCTTGACTGCTTAGCAACCTCCTATCTAGCAATCTTTTGAGAGTTATGCCCAAGGACCAGGTACATGGTAGGAGTTTGCTCTGAAGCTACAGATATCCTATTTATCTCAGCCGTGGTTAGACTATGAATAATGTTTAAAGGGAAAGAAAATATTTTTAGTTCTCGACCAAAACTATTGTTTAGGTAGATGTGAGTAGCACCTTAAAAAAAAAAAAAAAAGGTTATTAGCTTTGTGATTTAAAAAAATGAAAATTGTCATTCCTAATTTCCTAAATTAGCCTCTGAATTCGATTGGTTTGTTTTGAGTTAGTTTTGAAAACCGAACTGAATTTTTTGCCAATTCAGACAGTGATGTTATAACTTGGCCTCTTCATCCTTTAAGGAGTCTATGCCCCTGGGTTTGTTAGGTTGCTCATTTAAAACAATCAAAAGGAGTTATTTGGCCCTGCCAGGGTGGCTCACGCCTGCAATCCTAGCACCGGGAGGCCAAGGTGGGAGGATCCCTTGAGAACAGGAGTTTGAGACAAGCCTGAGCAAGAGCGAGACCCCATCTCTACAAAAAAAAGAAAAATTAGCCAGATGTGGTGGTGCAGGCCTGTAGTCCCAGCTACTACTCCTGAGAATCGCTTAAGCCCAGGAGCTTGAAGCTGCAGTGAGCTGTGATGACACCACTGCACTCCACCCCAGGTGACACAGGGAGACCTTGAAAAAAAAAAAAAAAAAAAAAGGTATTTGATTCCTTTCATAATTACCCCAGTCTTAAGAAGACCAAGAAAAAAATAGTCTGTTTCATGAGGGTGAAGAATAAACTCTGAAGTTAGAAGAACAATTTGCATGAATGTCTTTTATATCTGCCTTTTTACATTTGGGTAAATTTAAGCCATCAGAAGGGAATGTCCACCAGCTCGACATTATAGCTACGTTCTTGGTTTTCTCCTCCCTTAATGGTTGCTCCTTCTAGGTTCTTCCTCCTCTCCCAGACCTCTGACTCTTGGGGTGCCCCACGGCTCCTCCTGTGGCCCGGTCCCTATCTGCACTCATCCCCCTCTTATCTCATTCAGTCTTGTGACTCTGCATTCCTTTCAGGAACGCAGGGGTATTCAGGAGCCAAGCAACAAGATG